CACCGAGAGCTCACACAGCACCTCTCGTCCACTTTTCTTGTCTCACCACCTGGCTGAAGCTGCTGGCACCTATGTGGCTGTCCAGCGCCATTTCCTGCCTGTTTCTGAGCCTCATGCCCCTGACCAGCTCCTCTGACCTGGGCTGGGCCATGCAGGCCCTGGGGGTGGGAGAGGGCAGTTAAGGTGCGATGGGGGCAGAGGCAACATTCTGCCTTCAGGGACCGTCACGTGCTGCGTGTAGGAGGGAGTCACATGCAGACTGCATGGCACACGCACACACAGGGAAGGAGGTCGGGAGGAGGGCTGGTGCCCACTCAGGAGGTGCTACCCTGGCCCAGCTCCCTCCTTGAGCTGAGTGCCACAACAGCGTGTGCACAGCAGTTCTTGATGAAGTGACGCTGGCAGACAGGCTGGCCTATGCCTCCGGACAACTCACAGGTCCAGGGAGAAGGGTGGCTGAGCTGACCCTCCCGCAGGAGATCGGTGTACTGAGAGGTGGCAACATCAGACAGCCCCCGTACCACCCCAGCGAGTGCCCAATGATGGGTACACATTTGGGGGAGGGGGTGAACATGGGGCAGAGAGGCCTGGCACCTCCTCCTGGCCCCCACCCACAGCCCAGCCCCACCTACTTCAGCAGCCCCAGCCCAGAAGGCATCAATGGTGCCTGGGGTTCACTTTGTTTTCAGGGTGGTTTCTCTGTCTCTTATGAAACACAGGGAGGGGAGGGGCACAATGAGCTCCCAGCTGCGCCACTTCCCACCCAGCTTCCTGCTAATGTGCCTGGGAGGCAGCAGTGATGGCCCAAGTGCTTGGGTCCCTGCACCCACATGGGGACCCAGATGGAGCTCCTGGCTCCTTGCCAGGCTGTGGTGTCACGGCCATCTGGGGAGTGAGTCAGCGGGTGTAAGCTCTCTCTGCCGTTCTGCCTTTCAAATAAATAAGTCCATCTTCAAAAAACTAAACTAAAGAATGGCATCCCTCCCCAGAACTCTCCCTGCACATCGGATTGGGATTGGGAGCCAGGTGGGTGCTTGGATCCCACATGGGCAGCAGCGGTGGTCTCCTCTTCTCCATGTCACCCCAGGACCAACTCATGGCAGGAAGCTGGGTGTCTTTGCCAGAGCTCTCCTGGGCGGGCCCCTCACACCCTCCCTGCTCCCCAGGGCCCACACACCTCTCCTCAGAGTCCTGAGCCTCTCAGAAGCAAACCTGGGAAGTGAGCTCTGCGGACAGAACTTGTACTGAACAGGGCGCAGGCACAAGTGCTTCCATCACAGGCCGGGGCGGTGGGTGGCCCTCACTGCACGCCCACGCCCAGCACCCCACCTGCCAAACAAATCACAGAAACAATGCAAAACAAACAGAAAGCCCCAAACACATGGATGGCCAGGTATCAACGTTGGCCTTTCAGAAGAAACGGATGTCCAGTTGAAATGCCCCCGTGCAGAACGTGGGAAGCGTGGTCACTCATCTGAAGCTCAAAGTGGATGCTGGGTGCACCTGCCCCCCAAGTGGTTCCTGCTGACCCCCGGCCTTGCTGCCCACTCAGGCCTCCTGTGTCTTCCTTTCTATTGAATCCTCGTTCTCACGCTCCCCACCCCTGCTGCAGGAACCCCTGCCTGGACCTGGTTCAGCTTCTCACCACAGCGCAGTGGTGAGGCCTCTAGCTGGTGTGTGGCCGTGGCGTTTCCAGGGCTGTGGAGAAGGGAAGAGTGTACTTGGGTCTTCTACTGCTTTCTCAGGCCTTTAGCAGGGAGCTGGATGGGAAGTGGAGCAGCCGGGACTAGAATTGGCACCCTTATGGGATGCCGGCACTGCAGGCGGCAGCTTAACCCAGTGAGCCACAAAATGCCAGCCCCTTTTTATTTATTTATTTATTTAAAAGATTGATTGATTTGAAAGGCAGAGTTACAGAGAGAGAGGGAGAGACAGAGAGAGAAAGAGAAAGACTTTTTTTTTTTTTTTTTGGACAGGCAGAGTGGACAGTGAGAGAGAGAGACAGAGAGAGAAAGGTCTTCCTTTGCCGTTGGTTCACCCTCCAATGGCCGCCGCTGCAGCCGGCGCACCGCGCTGATCCGATGGCAGGAGCCAGGAGCCAGGTGCTTTTCCTGGTCTCCCATGGGGTGCAGGGCCCAAGCACCTGGGCCATCCTCCACTGCACTCCCTGGCCATAGCAGAGAGCTGGCCTGGAAGAGGGGCAACTGGGACAGAATCCGGCGCCCCAACCGGGACTAGAACCCGGTGTGCCGGCGCCGCAAGGTGGAGGATTAGCCTATTGAGCCACGGCGCCGGCCCCAAGAGAAAGACTTTTAAACATTCAAAGACTTCATGGAAAGTACTGGAATGTACCTGCTGTCTGCAGGGCTGACCATTGGCAGGTGGGGCAGTGGACAGCACCTTCCCTCCACCTCCCACAAGCCTCTCCTGCCATTCCGCTGGGTCCCTGACCTGTGTGCCTGGGGCCTTCCCAGCTCCTGTGCCCCGAGCCTCAGAACCTGGCCCTGCCCAGCTCAGAAAGCTGCCCCACTCTGCAGCAAGAGCTGTCGAAAGCCTCAGGGAGAATGAAAGGAGGGGAGAGGCGTTCACGGTGAGTGGGCATGCTGCCCCGCCTGCCCCGTCCGTGCAGCCTGTGTTTTCAGGATGGCATCAGAGCTGATGGTGAAGCCCAGGATGGCAGGCAGGGTCTCCCCTGAAACTGGGGCCTGCACAGCTCGCTGATGGGGAGGAGATTGCCAGGGTACCGCTGAGACAGACTCACGAGCTGAGCCGGGGAGCATCCTACGTGGCAGTGGTGCCAGCTGGGTGCCAGGGCAGGGCCTCAACCACAAGACACAAGGGTGAGTGGACAGCTGGTGTTGTGGTGCAATGGGTTAAGCGGCCACTTGCAATGTCATCATCCCATATCTGAGCTCTGGTTTGAGCCCTGGCTACCTCTGCTTTGGATACACTCCCTGCTAATGTGCCTTGGAAGCAATGGAGGATGACTCAAGCGCTTGGGCCCCTACCGCCCACGTGGGAGACCCCGCTGGAATTCTTGGCTCCTGGCATCAGCCCGGACATGTCCTGGATGTTGTGGCCACTTGGGGAGTGAACCAACAGATGGGAGATACCTCTCTCTCTCTCTCTTTTTAAAATAAGTGAATAAATCTTAAAAAGAAGAAGGAAGAGGAGTGGAATGGGTCCTGAAGGCTGAGCTTGGCTGGAGTTGGGGGGAAACTCCGCCACACCCTGAATACACTGAAATATGCTACACACCAGGTGCACACATGACCTCAGACCAGTCCCCACCCCCATCTGGGGTAAGGTGTCTGGTAGGGATGACACCCAGGATTGGCCAACACAGAGTGGATGAGGCCAGACTACAGGGTGGCTCGACAGTGAGGAGACGCATGGCAAGCTCTACCCAGCAGTCAGAACATAGCACCCTGGTCTGAGGGGCACTGAGAGCAGGGGCAGTGCTGGGGTGTGGGAAGGGGCGCAGACCATGTGGAGGGAAAAGCCCACCTCAGCGGGCCATGGGCCCCTTCACAGCTGTGTGGGGCAGGAGGGAGGGAAGAGGTAAGCCGAAGGGATGCTGTGGAGAGGACAACAGGAAAGAGACCAGGCCCTGCCTGAGCCCCTCGGCTTTAACCGATAACTGTCGCATCCGTGAGCACCACACAACCCAGTCCCACACACTCACAAAACTCCCGTTCCACATGGGTCAGTGGTGCAGGCGAGGCTGCCGAGCTCAGAGGTCTGAAAGACTGAGAGAGCGACAGAGAACAACAAACGGAGAGATGGAGAAACAGAGGCAGAGACCGGGACAGAGAGGAAGAGAGAGACAGCGACTTCACCAGGGACAGTACTGTTTAAAATGAGGACTGCCGTTGGCCCTGCTCTGTTGGTTGCTCTAACTGCAGCATGATGTACAGCAGTGAGGCACACAGCTTGGAGGCCTGTGAGCGAGCAAGTGTCTGATGCCCGAGACAGAGAGAGAACACCCAGCACACCAAGTGTTCTCATTTGTGACTTTTAGCTGACATCCTGTAATAATTGTGCGTGCTTACAAGTTAAGTATGAGATTTCAGTACAGATCAGGAAAGTGGCATATCCACTGCTCAGATATGACTATTTCTCTCTGTGAGTGAGATCCCAGGGGAAAGAAGGGGCCGTCAGAGAAGGAAGGGAGGAGAGACTTCCACTTTGATCATGGCCTTGTCTAAATACGGAGTTTGTGGACTCAAAACACTTCCACTGCCTTGGCAGCTCATGACAAGAGCGTTGGGTGATCACTGACATCACAAATAAGAGATCAGTTGTTAAATCAACAACAGGAGTCACCGTGCACTTACTCCCCATGTAGGACCTCTCTCCTTAATGAGTTGCACTATGAGTTGTACTAGTCTTCAAACAGTACTTTATACTTTGTGTCTGGTGGGTGCAAACTGTTGAAATCTTTACTTAGCATAAAGTTGGTCTTCTGTGGCCGGCGCCGCGGCTCACTAGGCTAATCCTCCGCCTAGCGGCGCCGGCACACCGGGTTCTAGTCCCGGTTGGGGCGCCGGATTCTGTCCCAGTTGCCCCTCTTCCAGGCCAGCTCTCTGCTGTGGCCAGGGAGTGCAGTGGAGGATGGCCCAGGTGCTTGGGCCCTGCACCCCATGGGAGACCAGGAAAAGCACCTGGCTCCTGGCTCCTGGCTCCTGCCATCGGATCAGCGCGGTGCGCCGGCCACAGCGCGCCGGCCGCGGCGGCCATTGGAGGGTAAACCAACGGCAAAGGAAGACCTTTCTCTCTGCCTCTCTCTCTCACTGTCCACTCTGCCTGTCAAAAAATAAAATAAATAAATAAAAAAAAGTTGGTCTTCTGTATATAAAGATAATTAAAAATGAATCTTAATGAAGAATGGGATGGGGGAGGGAGTAAGAGGTGAGATGGGAGGTGGGGTGGGAGGGCGGGTATGGGGCGAAGAACCGCTATATTGCTAAACCTGTGAAATTTAAATTTATATTTATTAGGGGCCGTCGCTGTGGCGCAGCGGGTTAACGCCCTGGCCTAAAGTGCCGGCATCCTATATAGGTGGGTGCCGGTTCAAGAACAGCTGCTCCACTTCCAATCCAGCTCTCTGCTATGGCCTGGGAAAGCGGTAGAAGACGGCCCAAGTCCTTGGAGATCCTGCACCCACGTGGGAGACCTAGAGGAAGCTCCTGGCTTCTGGTTTTGGATCAGTGCAGCTCTGGCCATTGCGGCCAGTTGGGGAGTGAACCATTGGATGGAAGACCTCTCTCTCTCTCTCTGCCTCTCCTCTCTGTGTAACTCTGACTTTCAAATAAATAAATAAATCTTTAAAAAAATAAATAAATAAGTTTATATTTATTAAATAAAAGTTTCTAAAATATTAATCATTTCTTTGGGTTGGAGCACTCAAAATCTGTCAGCTCGGTGCTGTTGGCCACAGCTCCTTCTGTGTGTGGAGCATTAGAGGTTGCACCTGCTGCCCCCTGGCACTGCCCTCCCACCCTTCCTCCCTTCCTACTCTCTACTCTTGTGAGATCAGCTTTTCAACTGACTCACCCCATTTTTTACTGAAAGAAAGAGAGAATAACATAAATGAGAAAAGAAATCCCTCCAAACACAAGAAGTTTGAAATGACCAGTGCCCATTCTCACCAGCAAAAATCTGTGGGAAGCCACAGGTGACGGGGTGGGGAAGGCACACACCACTCTGCTTGCGTCTACAGCGTCATGTGAACAGTGCCTGCTCCTGGACACAAGACGCTCATGCACACACACTCACACTTAACCTATATGCACCCGCGGCCATGCACATATCATTCACAGACACAGACACACACACACATAACAGATGTGCCATAGACATGGGCACAAGCATTCGCCACTGTCACTCACACAACACATACTGCACTCTCACAGACTGACACGTGTGAACATTCAGACACACATACACAAGCATGCACGTGCCCCACACCACGCAGGCTCACATGCACACACTGTGGGCACACGTGCACAGGGGTGTCGCGCTCATGGACTCACACCCTCCCTCTACGAGTCCCGTCAGGTCGGTCGTCAGCTCTGACACTGAGGAGACGGAGCAGACACCCACGGCCAGGACATGTGTGCTGCCACCTCAGCTACTCAGCTGCTTCTTCCCACCAAGCCCAAGCCTCTGTCCGTTCCCACACCAAGAGCCAGCTGCCTGTGTCCCATGCAGGACGCACTCCAGTGTCCACGTTCTTGGCAGAGATTTTGTGTGGAAGCCTTAGGCAAGATCAGAGGCACTTGTTGAGCACCTGCTGGGTGCAAAGTCTGGAGCTGAGAGTGGCAGGGGCTGCAGCCCCCTCGACGAGGCCAGCAGAGTCGGCAGCTCCACAAGCAGGCATCCACCTGCTCAGCGGGGCGACCCAGTGGGGTGACACCACATCCCTGGTCTCACAGCCCATCCCATCCACGCTTACCGCTTGCTCCCTGAGTCCAGCTTGAGCTATTGGACCAGTTCCCCTCAGTACGTGGCACTGATGGCCACAGTGAGGCCTTGCACAAGCGCTGCCCAGACAAGCAAGACGCAAGACCACAGAAGGAACGCAGCAGAAAGCTGGGCCCACAGACCTGTCAGGAGAGGAAATCTGAAGAGATTCGACTTGCAAGATGTAGTCTAGGGTGGACGTGCTTCCCCCAGGGAGACAGCATCTTAGCTCACTGCCTGTGCTTGTGGGAGACAGAGACTGTGCCTTCAGCTCACCGCCTGTGCCTGTGGGACACACACGGTGTCTTCAGCTCACCGCCTGTGCATGTGGGACACACACGGTGCCTTCAGCTCACCGCCTGTGCATGTGGGACACACACGGTGCCTTCAGCTCACCGCCTGTGGGTATGGGAGACAGACACTGTGTCTTCAGCTCACTGTAGTCTTCAGCTCACCGCCTGTGAGTGTTAGAGACACTGTGTCTGCAGCTCACCGCCTGTGTGTGAGTTACCCCTGATTGAAGGAGAAACTCCACACAGTGACCAGGAATTTTTGTCAGTGTTGTGGCCCAGAGGAGAGCAGACACAGGTGTCCCCAGAGACCTCCTGCTTGCCCTCTCCAGCCTGTGAGAGGAACCCAGTCTTCTTTTTAGGGGTCCAGCTCTAGGGATGGTTTGAGGAGGTGCAGACACAGGTGCCAGTCAAACCTGGCCTGCACCTTAGACTTTCCAAAAAATAAAACCAAGTTCAAATCAGCAGGCTTGAGATTTGTGAGAAGTCGGGGGGGACAGCAGTTAAGAGCAGGAGGCAGGGGGGCCTCCTTCGAGTGACCTCTGGGGAGGAGGCCCTTTGTCCTCTACAAGACAAGAGATTTTGCTAAGGGTTTTGTGTAAAGCCCCGAAGTCTTTTTCACGCCAACCCAAATTTGCCCATCTGCCTCCCCTGCCCAGTGCACAGTCCCAGCCACGCTGTGAGCAGCACGGGCTGTGGCCCGCTTGTCTCAGCGCACACAGAGGCCTCCACAGAGCCCAGAGACCCGTGTGGCCCTTGATGTGGGTGGTAGCAGGTCCCCAGCTCCCGCTGGACCTCCTTTGTCTGTGCACCTGAGTCTCCAAGGAGAGGGGCTGGCAGCCCTGGGTGCAGCACCTCCCAAGGGTGACCCCCCTGCCCCAGCCCTGCAGGTCTACATGCTGTGAGAGCAAGAGGGCCCCAGGAAACAGGACAGTCACAGTCCTGGCAGAGGGCAGGAAGGTGAGTGGCTTTGGCTCCATCTGGCACTCCTCTCTACTCGCAAGGGTGGGGGTTGGGGGGCTGCCGGACCCCTGCTGCTGCGCCATCGACACCTGGCTGAGAAATAGGGGCCTCTGCTCCCTCCTCCCCCTCGCTCACAAATGGCCCTGAAGAGTGTGAAGAGATCAAAGGGGCTGAAGTGCCACCCCCACCCCAGAGGACAGGAATTCACACCCGTATGGGCGTGGGGAGCCCAAGGTGTGGATGCTGTGCTGGCCTTGCCTGCAGACAGGTGCGAGGTGGAAATTTCAAAGGGCCTCTAATTTCGTTCCACAAACTGACCCAAGGCCCCTGGCCTCCCTGCCCTGGAGCAGTGTGTCCTGAGCCCTTCCTCTAAGAGCAGCCCCAGGGGCCACTTGCGCCTGTAGCCCCTGCTCTGAGGGAAATGAGAGTGAGCGGCGGGATAGGTGTGTGGGGTTGCACTCCCTGAGCACTCCACGGGCGCTGACTGAGTGCGTGATTGTATAGCTTGCTGTGGGCTGCCAGCCCTCATGGAGCCGTTTCCCCGGGAGCTTCAGGTGAGGCGTTGCCAGCCGCTTCTGCTAATTCTGCTCGTGTTCTGCAGGAGTGAGTCTTTTGTCCCGTACACAGCCCCATAAGGTCTTCACGCCTATTCCCAGGACGAGCTGGCAACTCTAGGCTCTCCTGAGCCCCACAACCAAATCCTGTACAAATTTTCGTCTACAGGAAATTGTCCCTATAATGACTGGTATATGCCATCACCTGGTAGGATGGCTGTCAGCAGAGTCCTTCCTGGAACACAACTCCCTATTTCCATGTTGATCACATGGCAACAAGGCTGTCAGTCCAGCAAAGAGCACCCTGAGGTCTTTGCTGGTAGCTAAAGCAGCCACACGCCGTGCACTATTGCGTGAGCACACAGCAGCTGGCAGAGCCAGCCAAGAATTACCCGCAGAAGCCTGGGCTTCACCCTCGGGTGGGACCGAGTGCAGCATTTCCAGGACAGGTGTGCTTTGGGTGTGTGACCCCTGGAAAGGTGCACCTGACAGCCTGGCTGGCCATGTGAGCACTGCAGGCACAGGGTCGTCAGAGCAGAGTGAGAGTGACCATCCTGGCCTGGGCCCCTTGACAACCACGGTGAAAGAGTGAGCTGTAGCCGGGACCCACCTGTCCCTCAGGGCATGAAACAGACCACTCCTCACCAAGCAGCTGTCAGGCGACAGGGGCTGGTCCCTGTGTCCAGCAAGCCAGACTCAAACAGGTGGTCTGCGCAGGTCAGGGCGCCTCCTATCTCGTTACTGGTTCCCAGAGCTATCCGATTCCCCTGCCTGCTTCTGGGGGCTCCTCTGCTTTGAACGAAACTCAGACATGCAGAGAGACTCCTCTCCCCACGCTTCTCCTTGGCCCGTAAGGAACTCCGGGTCAGACACAGCGAGTTCCCCTGGGTGCGGAGTTCCCTCTAAAAGGGTGCTCCAGCCGGGACGGAGGATGCCCACAGCCCTCGAGCCCAGCTGCCACACTGGCCGCTACTCCCGGCACACTGCGCGTCTTTACCAGGCCGCAGCCTTCTGGGGACTCGGCCCTCCCCAGCAGTCATAGTGCTCGGCAGCGGCCATTTCTCTAGATGACTTAGAGCTCAGCTTCTCTGGGGAAGTCTCTAACCTGGACGAGACTGCGAGAGTAGGAGGAGAGCCCCTGGACCGCAGGTCTGAGGGAGCCCGGCAGGGCAACAGGGCTGACTTCCCTCAGAACAGACGCCAAGGTGTTACCGGAGAAATTGTAGGGTTCTTGTCTTCGCGCAAGAAAGAATTCAGGCATGAGACAGAGAAGTTGAAAGTAAAAGTAGCAAAGTTTATTAGGGTAGGGACATCCGCAAGAACGGATGGGCACCTCTCCAGACAGGACCTGAGAGAGAGTGCCATCGCTCGGATGGGGGCGGGGGGCAAGGTTACATGATTGAGTGGAAAGATTACACCTGGCCAGGCAGGTGGGCGGCTCAGCAGAGAGGCAGAGGGCTGAGCGCGCTGTCCAGTTGAGGCTGGGGGGTTTTAAGGAGATGGGTCTTGCTCCCCCACCTCTGCTCCTCTTGGAACAAAGGGCTTTTTGGGTGTAAATAGAAAAACTTCTCTCTTGAAGATCTGAAACAAAGGACTTTATGGATGCAAATGTTATCAGACAGGAGGAAGGGAGCAGGGTGTTTGAGATGCAGATACTGGGCTGCACCTGGGAGATTGTGGAAGATTTGTCAGCAGAAGGGGTGGGGACCTCCACCTGGCAGGTTATCAGGTGGAAGAGGGCAGGGCAGGGCAGGATGTGAACACCGGGCTGCCCCTGAAACACCATCAGGATGACTTTGAGATGCAGCGTGTACTGGACATAGATGTCTTCTCTTTAGGCCTTTATGTCACACACACATAAGCTCATAACTGACTTCCTACCTAACAAAGGTATTCGTCCACGTTTGCTTCGTGACACATCTGGGAGATTTGGGTCACTGGGGGTCCCCGACCAGTGGCTGTTCGACCTCCCACAAGCCACAGGCACAGCCCCAGAGTTTGGGGTGCAGTTGTCCCCATGTGGCTCA